AGGGGGGTAGGAGGAGGCGAGGGGGGTAGGAGGAGACGAGGGGGGTAGGAGGAGACGAGGGGGGTAGGAGGAGGCGAGGGGGGTAGGAGGAGACGAGGGGGGTAGGAGGAGACGAGGGGGGTAGGAGGAGACGAGGGGGGTAGGAGGAGGCGAGGGGGGTAGGAGGAGACGAGGGGGGTAGGAGGAGACGAGGGGGGTAGGAGAGACGAGGGGGGTAGGAGGAGACGAAGGGGGTAGGAGGAGGCGAGGGGGGTAGGAGGAGGCGAGGGGGGTAGGAGGAGGCGAGGGGGGTAGGAGGAGACGAGGGGGGTAGGAGGAGACGAGGGGGGTAGGAGGAGGCGAGGGGGGTAGGAGGAGGCGAGGGGGGTAGGAGGAGACGAGGGGGGTAGGAGGAGGCGAGGGGGGTAGGAGGAGGCGAGGGGGGGAGGAGGAGGCGAGGGGGGGTAGGAGGAGGCGAGGGGGGTAGGAGGAGGCGAGGGGGTAGGAGGAGGCGAGGGGGGTAGGAGGAGGCGAGGGGGGTAGGAGGAGACGAGGAGGGTAGGAGGAGGCGAGGGGGGTAGGAGGAGGCGAGGGGGGTAGGAGGAGGCGAGGGGGGGGTAGGAGGAGGCGAGGGGGGTAGGAGGAGACGAGGGGGGTAGGAGGAGGCGAGGGGGGTAGGAGGAGGCGAGGGGGGTAGGAGGAGGCGAGGGGGGTAGGAGGAGGCGAGGGGGGTAGGAGGAGGCGAGGGGGGGGTAGGAGGAGGCGAGGGGGGTAGGAGGAGGCGAGGGGGGTAGGAGGAGGCGAGGGGGGTTAGGAGGAGGCGAGGGGGGTAGGAGGAGGCGAGGGGGGTAGGAGGAGGCGAGGGGGGGGTAGGAGGAGGCGAGGGGGTAGGAGGAGACGAGGGGGGTAGGAGGAGGCGAGGGGGGGTAGGAGGAGGCGAGGGGGGTAGGAGGAGGCGAGGGGGGGTAGGAGGAGGCGAGGGGGGGGTAGGAGGAGGCGAGGGGGGGGGGTAGGAGGAGGCGAGGGGGGTAGGAGGAGGCTTGATGGGGGCCCGGCATCGCTCGCAGACGCAACGCCCAGATCGCGAGAGGAGTCTGGGGGAAATAAAACCCAGCTGCCCAAAAATAACACGACCGCTACCACCACCGCCCAGGCCCCCCCCCCCCCCCCCCACATACCTGGTTAGGCACGGGGTACCGGAGACAGCGGCCCCCCCACGCGCACGCACACAGTGCCTCAGTCTGTCTCTCTCTCTCTCGTGTTTCTTGTCTGCGCCGGTGTGTTGATTGGCCGCTCATCGTGATAAGAAGTTCAACATACATAGAGAGCTCCTGCCGAACGCGGCACGGAACCGCGGTCCCATCCGACACGGAACCCTCGTCTCATCACAAACGGAATCCTCGTTCCATCTGACATGCAATCCCTCGATCTGATCTGATACAGAACCCTCATTCCATCTCACACGGTACCGCGGTGCCATCCGATGCAGAACCCGCGGTCTCATCCCACACTAAAATTCTCGTTCTGTCTGACACGGAACCTTCGGTCCCATTCAACACAGAACCCTTGGCGAGCACCGCCACCCCAGTGGCTCCGTGGCTCACGAACCGTTGAAGTCGTCCACGCCGGGTTCAGCCACGGCCCCTGAACTGTCAAGGTCCTCGTTCTTGCGTTTGATTAACAACGGACCGGGGACCCCAGCGTTGACACGGGGGGCGAGCGGGTGGAGCTGGGTTGACATATGACCCTACGACGGGCTTCCTGACTCACAGAGAGACGCACTCAGGGGTCCTGTCCACACAGACTCCCCGTGGACCCATTGCGACATCCCCTCCCCCACCCCTCACCCCAACCCATCCGCCAACCAACACCCCCCCACACCCATACAAAAATATTCCATAAAAATACAGCTCATTCATCCCACATCACATGTACACGCCGATATGTATACACACACGGACACACAAAGATCCCCCTATAAGTCATAGGGGGACTATTGGGGGCAAAGGGATGTTGTCAGATGGTGCGGCCGGCACCGTTCCCGGTCGCCTTTTCCTGCCGAGTGCCGATGCTCGTTGCAGGCCGAGTCGACTCGGCGAATCTTTCCGGGAGCTCTTCAGATATTCGCCAACGATGTCGGCCGTGAGCGGGAATCCAACTCGGCCCGCCGGGTTCGTAGCGCAGCGCCAGCCACGGCCGGGCGGCTGCCTCCGTTGGGTGCTACTCCGCTAACCGCACTTGCCCCAACAGCCTGTGCAGGCTACACGGGGGATCTTTGCCTCCGCTCTCGCGTCTGTACGTTGACCCCCCCCCTCGCCTCCGGACGCTTCCCGTCTGTGGCCACTTTGCGCTCATTAAACCCAAAAACATAAATAAATAAATATCGTTGCCGCCACCCCGTCTTCGGAAAAAATATAAAACGAGTTCATAATGCGGGGAGGCGCCCAGATGTTTCCGTTAAAACTCTCCACGGCGCCCGCCGCCTTACAGCCCCCCCCAGCACCACCGCCTTACAGCCCCCCCCCCCACCACCGCCTTACAGCCCCCCCCACCACCACCGCCTTACAGCCCCCCCCACCACCACCGCCTTACAGCCCCCCCCAGCACCACCGCCTTACAGCCCCCCCCCCACCACCGCCTTACAGCCCCCCCCACCACCACCGCCTTACAGCCCCCCCCACCACCACCGCCTTACAGCCCCCCCCACCACCACCGCCTTACAGGCCCCCCCACCACCACCGCCTTACAGCCCCCCCCACCACCACCGCCTTACAGCCCCCCCCACCACCACCGCCTTACAGCCCCCCCCACCACCACCGCCTTACAGCCCCCCCACCACCACCGCCTTACAGCCCCCCCCCCCACCACCACCGCCTTACAGGCCCCCCCACCACCACCGCCTTACAGGCCCCCCCACCACCACCGCCTTACAGCCCCCCCCACCACCACCGCCTTACAGCACCCCCCCCCCCAGCCCTCGAGCCGTGTGGGAGACCCCCCCACGTTGCTTCTCACGGACGGCGCTCAGGGCGGCGGGTGGCTCACAATGGCCGCGTCGGAGACCTGAAGCTGACGCACGGATGAGCATCTCACTGGTCGAGTCTTGAGGCCTGGTTACCTCGCTCTCAGGTTCACAGTGGCCGTGGATCAAGACGCACAGCTGAGAACCTGAGATTGAGTCCCGGAACTGAGCGTCTCTCTCTCTCCATGTCTTCAGGTTCTTAATGGCCATGTCGGAGACACAAGGCTGGTACGGCTGAGATCCGGGGGACAAAGCCCTGCTGCTAGGAGATTCATAATGGCCGTGTTCGAGACGTTGAGCGGACAGCGTCGAGAGACCTGGGTTTGGATCCAGCCATCGGAGGCGCTTGCGATGAAACCATTGCCCCGAGAGTAGCCTGGTCAACCGTAACCAAATCTCACGGAAGGTGGCAGCCCGACGTCTCGAGACATGGGCCATTCTGAACATTCAGAAGGGGAGAGAGAGAGAAAAACCCAGATCCAGCATCGCTCATCTCAGCTTTGCCAGCTCATTGTTTCCGACATGGCCATTGTTGTGAACCGCCTGAGAGAGAGAGGCAGAGAGAGGGAGGGAGAGAGAGAGAGGCAGATACAAAGAGCTGGCGCGCAAAAACCCAGGGTTTCAGCGTTGCCAGCTCCGGGTCTCCGACACGGCCATTATGAGGCCCCCCCCCACCCCACCACCACCACCACCATTCCCGGCTCGCCGCGCCGGGTGGGATTAGTGGCGGGGCCGGTGAGCGCCGGGCCGGTTGTTTAAGCGGCTTCACGCCTCGCCAGCGGAAAGGCGGCGCCGGGGGCGGCCGCGGCAGCGACTAGTTCGTTCCTTCCTCGCTCGGTTGCTCAGTCGCCAGCGAGCGACCTGGGCGCGGCGGAGTGATCGTAAAGTCAAAGAAAACTTACCGCGGTGCCCCCCCCTCCTCTACCAGCCCCCTCCTCGCGCCCGCGTCTACGCTGGCAGCTCTCGGGGGCGGCGGTGTAGATTCCACATTCCTGTGGCGGGGACCAATGACTGCGTAGTAGTAGTAGGACGATCGTGGTCAGCTTCCCAAGAAGTGTTGCGACTTATTTCATCGACACCTGGCAGAGATGATTATGTTGTTGTCGCTTATGATGAAGATGGTCACGATGATGGGCCTGGAGTGGTGGCGCAGTGGTTAGCGCACTGCACTCTGAATCCAGCAAAAGCCGAGTTCGATCCTCGACCAACGGCTCAACAACGTCAGCTGGCGAGTGGCACCCCAACGAGTCCAGAGTCGACCTCCAAGCAGGATTTGAACTCTCGTGACCTTGCGACTGCAGCGACGCCCTCACGAGGATGTTGTCGTAGTAATGATAATAACTTGAAAAAGGTGTTATGTTTTAAATCGGAATGGAAATAACACGCAGCCTAATAGCCATGTTTTCAAGACTAATGCCTCCCATCAGTGGTCGTTTATTCAATAACTCAGCCTTGAAGTGATTTCCACATGGATTGGATTCGTTTAAACCAAAGCCACTGGGCGCCTCTGATGGCCTGAGGTTATTATGGGCACGAGTCCAGGTGGCATTTCAACCTCATTGGGACTCGTCAGCAAGGCTTAGCCTCATAAACTAATGCCGCTTGGGTGGCTTTATTATGTCAGACGCACGCACACACACGCGTGCAGCGTAAATCGCACAGTGCTCATTTATGACCTGAATTTCCGTCTGCGAGCCGTCGGGAGCGACGGCGCAGTGGTTAGCGCACTGCACTACGGACACCCGGCTTTGACCCCCGGCTAACGTCGGGGACATTCGATTGGCGGGCCCTAGGCCTCCCCTACACCTTGGCCACCCGTAATTGCTGGGAATCATTGCGTGCGGAGGCCTTTATCCAGCAGGCGGGAGGAGTGGCGATCCACGACTTACCGATGCTGCCCATGACCCCGAATCTTGCCCTTCAACTTTGGCCTATGCTCTGTGAGTCACACAATCCCTCTCTCTGCCCCCCCCCCACCCCCACCCCCCACCCCCCACAGACATACATATTTACGGACACGGATGACGAGGAGATCCGCAAGGTCGCCGGTGAGTACCGACATCGCCTGCCCGCCCACCCACCCGCCTGGAATGATGGGAGATTACCCAGAGTGCCTTGGTGGCTCGGGGGTTGGAAGTGGCGCTGGGAAACTGGGCACATGTTTTCAATGAGTTAATAAACACCACACTATGAACCTGGTATTGGCCAAACATCTGAATATAAAAAAAACAATATGCAAAAAAAACGTTAATTATTTGATTATACATAGCAGCAACACCGCCCCCACAACTGCAAAATATTTGGCAGGACCCTCCTGGCAAAGACACTTGATGTTGCTTTCTTGGGTAAACAAGTCGAACGATTATAATAATGTAGCAATGCAATGAACAATAATTTATTAACACCGCACACGATTTGGATGCGAATGCAGCGGTCCAAAAAAGCCGGCGCATTTTCCACTCGAAAGAGCGCTGGAGGCGACGAGGGGGGGGGGGGGGGTTTGGGGCCCTGAATGCGTTGCGTCGTGGCTACACATTACACGCAACATTCGGGTCACGTCTGTTGTGACCACAGCTGCTGGTCCGATCCGGCCTCGGAAGATCGCGTTGGCGCTAACGCCAAAGCACGGTTGGTTGGACCCCCCCACCCCCTCTTCCTCCTCCTCACCGTTCTGAACTTGAGTTCGAGTCCCAAGTCTGCTGGTGCCTTGGTGGAGTGGGGGGGGGGGGAGGTCATCAACATCGTCCGCTGCCGTTGTTTTGCATCGCGGGGCCACCGTAGCGTGAAGCGATCGGCCGAGAAAACCGGTCGAGGCGGTGACGCCTCGCGATGAACGTGCCGAGGCTCTTTTGGCTTCTCCGTCTGGGAGAACCGGCGGCGGGAAACGACACGGCCGTGACGGTCGGCGGCTCTGACTAGCCCAGCGCGGTCGAACAACAATGACAACAATCAGAATAAGAATCACCCCCCGCGTCCAGCCACGGTGATGAGGGAGGCAACCCTCCCGGGGTAAAGCGAGCATACAGCCACATCTTCGACGAAGAACGTCGGCTTATTGTGTGGGAGCCGGGTGGATCGCCGCGTCACGGTGACTGTGAGCGATGGAGATACGGCGGCTTGTGGAGCTGAAGAAGGAAGGTTCCTTCACGGCAGTGGTGATGGTGGAGACGACGACGATGATGATAATGACGACGACAATGACGACGATAATTATGATGATGTCTGTAATGGCGCGGTGCAGGCTCCCACATGGTGAACACGAACTGCTCGGCGGCGCACAATCGGCAAGCGCTGTCGTGCAAGATGTCGGTGGAGTATGAGACTTTCGTGAAGTCCGGCAAGAAGTGAGAAGCGCGCTCGTGCACGCACGCTCACGTACACACACTTGCGCACCCTCACGCACGTGCACTATTGCATGCACGCGTACGCACACTCACGTTCTGCTTGCTGTGCTGCCCATTCCCCCCACGCAGGTGGTTCTGCCACGTGGACGATGACAACTACGTGAACGTGGAGGCGCTCAGGGCGGCACTCTCCTCCTTCTCGCACACACACGACTTCTACGTGGGGCGGCCATCGCTGGATCGGCCCATCGAGGCAACCGAGCGCCTCTCCCCCCACGTCTCGGTAAGCGGTCACTCTCGGCAACCGGGCCTCACGGGCAATAAGGCATCACGGGCAACTAGGCTTCATGGGTAACCGGGCCTCATGGGCAACGAGGCCTCATGGGTAACTAGGCCTCACAGGAAACCGGGCCTCATGGGTAACTCGGTGTCAAGGGCAACTAGGCCTCATGTGCAACTAGGCCTCGTGGGCAACCGGGCCACACTGGCAACGAGGCCTCACGGGCAACTAGGCTTAATGGGTAACCGGGCCTCATGGGTAACTCGGCATCAAGGGCAACTAGGCCTCAAGGGCAACTAGGCCTCATGTGCAACTAGGCCTCACAGGCAACCAGGCCTCACGTGCAATCGGGGCACCATGGCAACCAGACCTATTACCTGTCCACATACCCCTATCAGCATATAGGTTTTATAGTGAGTTAAATCATGTAATAAAATAAATGAATGTGTTCTAATTACCTTTCCACGTAGTAAACACCGGAGACATTCAGACAAATGTAATGGTATATCATCTCGCTGAGGCTTGGCCAATTTGCTTGACCAGTGCTGTAGCATTTTAACATTTGGCTTTGTGGCGCCATCATTTTTATACCGTAGGGCTATTACGAAAAGAGATGCCGCTGTGTTTCACGCAGTACGCAGTCGTTTCTGCAGTCGGGGAACGGGGCGATGTTGCTCTGTGCGTGTGCGCAATCCCAGTTTTGAGTAAATTCGTTGGCCATGCTCTATTTCGAATTTGACAAAAGTTCGACCGTGACTGTGACACACAATGGCCAGCTCGTGTCGAACAACGCCACGCGAATTTGCAATGTCCACAGTGAGTCAGACGGCGAGCAGCGCGCCGTTGGTCAATAATGTGCACCGCAGCATTGACCAGGGCGGCCGCCACATTCGAACACGTGAACGCAATGGTGGCTACCGCTGGGGCCACAGTCACGGCCACCCCGATATCAGCAGGGCCCACCCCCCGTCACCAACGGCTTGTCTTACAGAACCAGGGAGGTCCTACTTAGCAGCTCATCCCGGAATTAGAGAGAGAGAACTCAGCGTCACGCGGAGAAAAGAGTTTTCCGTGGAGTTATATATTCCGTGGCTGGCTTTTTGGCAGCAGAGTGGGGATAATCCACCGTTGTACCGTACCTCTATGTTCCCACTGGCACGCTCTTTCTCTGTCCACCAGCCCGCGCTGCCACAGTGTGGCGTAAGCGTTGTTCGATTCGAATAACTGGCCCACGACCGGCACAGCCTAGGGTAGGCCCTCATTCAGCAGAGATGTAGGGCTGTCCGTGTGCGTAGAACAAGGCTGGCAGCATAGAGTTTTTTTCCATCGGGTTTTTTTATGGTTTTAATAAAAAAAAACGATCATCTCAGATGGCCAAAAATCCTGTTTTATTCGGTTTTATTGCTTGTTAATCCCTACAATTATAGCCCCCACCAAAGGGAAGACAAACAACACGTTCCACTACAAGATGATGGTCAAAGATCGCAAGACGCCGATGGAGTATTGGCCGTCCAATGGCAGTGAGTGGCCTGAGCTGCAAAAGATCGACGTCAAACTGTTCAGCATTGCCACATCCAGTGCCGTATCCAAGAGGAACTTCTTCACCTTGGCCTTCATTCACTCCAAGCTGAGGAACAGCCTGAGCGTGAAGTCGGTGGAGAAGCTCGTCTTGTTCAAGAGCAACATTACCGCCTTCTTCGACAGCATGGTTGAGATGATCGAAGAGGACAGCGAATCCGATTGCAAAAAAAAAACGGTTTTTTTCCACCATTGGGCGTAGAGAGTAACCCAGCACAGCAGTCAACGGAGCTGCGAGATTTTGGTGGTAAATGTGTTGATGTTGATGGTGGTGGTGGAGCGGTAGTGTTGTGGTTAACACGCTGCACTACAAACCCGGCGATCCGAGTTAGATTTCCGCTCAAGGCCAACACTAGTGACGATTATCTGAACCGGTTCTGGGCCTCGCCTAGGTCGATTCAGCCTCAAACATTTCCACTAGGGAGACAAAGGCGCCCAAGCGTGGTGTTGGCCACCCACCCCCTCGTGTGCCGTGCCGGCCTTCATAAGTGCTACTCGCTAACAGAACTTGCCCCAACAGTCTGTTAAAACTAAACGGGAGATCTTTGTCTTTGCCTTGGTTTGGTCCTGGTTTGGTGGAGATAACGGTGATAGGGAAAGCGATGATGATGATGTTGTTGATGATGATGAAGACGATAATGGAGATGATGACGATGATGACGATGTTGATGTTTATGATGATTATGATGAAGATGATGACGGAGATGATGATGACGATGTGCCATCTTCCCCCGCAGCACACGGTCACGTTCTGGTTTGCCACGGGAGGTGCCGGGTTCTGCTTGAGCCGCGGCCTCGCGCTGAAGATGACTCCATGGGCCAGGTGAGTGCCGCCTGCCGTGGGGTTACAGGCCCCCTGTGTGCGGCGCGCCGCGGTGTGGTGTGGCGTGGCCACGGTGTCACCTGCCATGCTGCGGTGTGGCCTAACCCATGGCGTGCCCGGTCTCAGTGTGGCGTGCGCCTGACGTGGTGTGGTGATGTAGTGCGGTGTCGCAGTGCGGTGATGTGGTGTGGTGACAAGGTGTGGTGTCGTGGTGGTCTAGAGCTCCCTGTCTCGGTGTAGCACACCCTGACGCAGTGTGGTATCACGGTGCGGTGTGACAGTGCGGTGTGGCGTCGTGGTGTGGCAGTGCGTTAACACGGTGCAGTATTGTGGTGTGCTGATGCGGGGCGGTGACGCGGGGCGGTGTGGCAGTGTGGTGAAGTGGTGCGGTATCGTGGTGTGGTGACGCGGTCAATTGTGGCGATGTGGTGGCGCGGTGCGGTGACGCTGTGCGTTGTGGGGATGCGGTGTGGCGGTGCAGTGCCGGCGTGTTCATGAGCACGGCGGAGCGGATCCGTCTGCCGGACGACTGCACGGTGGGCTACATCGCCGAGGCCATGCTGGGGGTGCCGCTCACCTTCAGCCCCCTCTTCCACTCGCACCTCGAGAACCTGCAACAGATCCCTCACGCTCAGCTCCCTCACCAGGTGAGGGTGCCACACACGCACACACTGTGGTACTGGGTGAGAGCGGTCCACCGAGTGGGCGAGCGTGGGGATAAGGAAGGTGCGACAGGTGACGACGGTGACGATGGTAACAGTGACGATGGTGACGATGACGGTAACGACGACATGGGTGACAACGGTGAGGACGACGATGGCAGTGACGACGACATTGGTGACGATGACGGTGTTGGTGAATTTATATGCCATCTCCTTTCAGAGCGGAGGCCTCCTAAATGGCTGAAAAATCCAGTGACAATTTTAACATATAATTTCTCTCTCCCCGATTCTCACTCCCTCTCTCCCTGTCTCACCTTCCCCCTCTCCCTGCCTCTCTCCCTGTCTCTCCATCCCTCTCTCCCTGTCTCTCCATCCCTCTCTCCCTGTCTCTCTCCCTGCATCTCTCCGTGGCTCCCCCACTTCAAGGCGACGCTGAGCTACGGGACGTTTGAGAACAAGCGCAACGTCATCAACATCAACAACGGAGCATTCGGCAGCGAGCAAGACCCAACGAGGTTACTCACCCCTCGCTCGCCCTCCCCTCGCTCGCCCGCCCCTCGCTCGCCCACCCCTCGCTCACCCGCCCGCCCCTCGCTCACCCGCCCGCCCCTCGCTCACCCGCCCGCCCCTCGCTCACCCGCCCCTCGCTCGCCCACATCACCGAGTCCACCCAAAAATGATGTTGCTGCCATGGCTGTGATGATGATGATGGTGGTGGTGATTGTCGCTGTTATGATGCTGCTACGATGACAATGATGACGCTGACGATAGTGGTAGTGGTGGTGATTGTCACTGTTATGATGCTGCTACGATGACAACGATGATGACGATGGCGGTGATGGTGGTGCTGCTGCTGCCACTCGTGAATGTGATGCACATATCTGTGTTCACTATTAGGAAGGCACTGGAGCTATGCACTTTTAAATCCTCTAGATAGAAAACGTATTCTTTTCAACTGCTTTTTGTGTTCAGTTTGTTGTCTTTCCCCGCCCATACGTCTGATTAGCACGGTTGGCTATGTAATGAGGTGCGAAAGAAAGCTGTCTCTGGTGTAGACCATTCAGTTTCAAAGACAATGCATATGTTTTCAGGTGTTGTTTGCATGTTTAACACAAGTGTGTGTGTGGTTAATGCAGATTTGATGCCTTGCCAAAAGGTTTCTATTTGGTGTTTGAACATCTTAACACATGTTGTATTGCCAGGAAGAGTAAAACCAATTCCTAACTTTCACAATCAGGTTGGTTTATGTATACTAGTGTAGGGTATCGTAGCGTATAGTAGTGTAGTGTATACTAGTGTAGTGTATAGTAGTGTAGAGTATAGTAGTGTAGTGTAGTGGAAAGTAGTGTAGTGCCTCCATAGAGCCCAATGTGTTCGCTTACCGACCATTCCCCTGTTAACGACGGGCTGTTATAGGTATAGTAAATATGAATGGATGCATTGATTAACCGTGTTACTTTTGATATCATGTGTTTATAATGTTGTTAGTACCTTAATGTATTCATATGCATTGTTTAAATATCATAAAGTACGTTTTTTCGATGGAAAATATGTAGCTTTTGCTACTATCGGAACGAATGAAGCCTTTAACGTGTATTTATTTACTATACTCGTTTAACAACCAAATCGCCTAACAACCGGTTTGTAGAAACCAATTACCGTCGTTAAGAGGGCTTCTAACGTATTTATACAAAATATAAATCTAGTTTAGTTTTTTATATTCTTAGGTTTTTTCGGTAAAGTCACGTAGCCGCACCGAACCTCACAAAAATAATATTCAGGGCCTACCTTGGCCTTGGCTCCTCCCACCCTCAACCAGTATATATACAAGGACTGTTTTCTTGGAATTTCTCTCACTTGATACGGCAATCTGGCTGTGACGGTTCCACCTGAAGACGGAAGCTTGTGTTGCCTCCGAAACGTCGTGATTTTTTATTTTATTTTTATTTTACTTTCATTAATTTTAATTTTTTTACTTACGTGACTTTACCGAAAAAACCTAAGAATATGAATCATTGCAGTCACGAAAGCTTCAAATCTAGAAATAGTTTAGTTTCACCATCCCGGCCATTTTCGTCCGCTGCCAAGTCACGTGTTCCCACGGGATCCGCTCACTCGTTTCCAAACGGCGCCCCCTGCTGGAGCCGTGGCGCCGGTGCGCCAGGACCGACCTCGACCTGCCCCCCCACCCCCCTTCAGGCTTTCCCTGAGCGTGACTTTAAAAGTCTCCTTTTTCCCCATTCTTAAACCAAATTATCAAATTCATCCGCGCGGGGGAGAGATCCCGCGTGGGTAGCCACAATAGAAGAGCCGGTGGCGTCTGGCTTACGGTGGTGATGGTGGTGGTGACGACGATGTATGCACGTACGTGTGTGTGTGTTTAGAACTTTTTGCGTACCACCGTGTGGGGAGCGGTGATGTAAGAGGTCAGCGCGCTGCGCTACGAACCCGGCGGCCCGAGTTCGATTCCCGCTCACGGCCACCAACACCTAGTGACGATTATCTGAACCCGTCCTGGGCCTCCTCCCCTTGGCCGATTCCTCTACAAAAAAGAGTGTTGAGAGTGAACGAGTGCCCGAGAGGAGTGTGAGAGAAATGGGGGAGCGGTGGCATAGTGGTTGGCGCGCTGCAGCTACGAACCCGGCGGCCCGAGTTCGATTCCCGCTCACGGCCACCAACACCAAGTGACGATTGTCTGAACCGGTGCTGGGCCTCCTCACCGAGTTCGACTCAGTCTCAAATGAGTACCTGGAGCGGTGTGTAAACATCGCCTCACTAGGAAGACAAAGGCGGCTGGGCGTGGTCCTGGCCACCCACCCCCTCGTGTGCTGTGCCGGCCTTCGTAGGCGCTCGCTAACAGCACTTGCCCCAACAGTCTATTAAGGCTATACGGGGGATCTTTGTCTTTGTGTGTTGAATTTCTTTCGCACCACCGTACGTAGCCAACCATGCTAATCGGTGGCAAGGACAACAAACTAAACACAAAAAGCAGTTCTGAAGAAAGGAGTGGTCAATGTATATGACTTAAAAGTCCACAGCTCCATTGGCTTCCTAATATCAGAAGAGAATTCCAGACGGCCGCAGAAGCGCATCTGAAAAGCACGCGATGCTGTTACCGTTTTGTTCAATGGCCAGCTAAAAGCCGCTGATTTTGGCTGGCCACGATACCTTGCTGCCGAGATCAGCAAGATATTGTGGTTCATTTGTGTGTAATGATGAAGACCATGGTGACAATGACGACGACGACGACGACGGTGTTGTTGTTGTTGTTGATGAAGTTGCACCCCGATGTTGTTGATGTTGAAGCTGATGATGCTGATTAAGCTGCTGGTGCTACTGCAAGCTGATGATTGCCGCTGATGCTTCTGCTGACGACGATGCTGATGATGCTGATGCTCTCTGCAGGTTTCTGTCCCTCCACTGCCTGCTCCACCCCGACACGGACTGGTGCCCCCCGAGCTCATGACGTCCGCCGCCTTGACCCATGACCCACGACCCGTGACCCCCCTCAACGCTCAAACCTCTTGACCCCATCCTACCCCCCCTCCCTCCCTCCATTGGTGGATGAGAGTGAGCGGGGTAAGGTGACTGTTTTCTGGGTGGAGGACCAAAATCCGGGCTCTGTCGGGAGCACCCCGCATCGCGACTCCCGATGAGCGGCAACGAAGACGAAGCCTTTTGCGAAGCGAAACCCGAATCAAATTCTTGCACTCGAAAGGCGACGACGGCACGGTGGGGACGCTTCTGCCTGTCCTCTGCGCCTGCGCGCGTGGCCGCTTGCGGCGTTACATCTCGAACGTCTGTACAGAAATAATGACGACGACGACGACGACATTCGAGCCCTTTTGAAGGCAGCCGTTGCAGTATTTGTTCCTGAATGTTCGCTTGTTTTGCGTTTAATTTTACATTGATTGATTGTTATTACGTTTTGCTCGAAAGTGCTCGCCGTGTTCACGGTGACGTTGAAGGGACCAACGAAGGGGACGTTCTCCGCGCAAGCCTCGCGCCGGAGCTCTTTTGCGTGAAATATTAACGACGACGACGATAGCGGTGGCGATGGCGGTCACAGCACAATGTCGCACATCCGACCGTCGCACGTCCGCCATGACCCAGTCAACCGCCCGCGCCGCCCACCGCAGCGTTGCCGTGCCGCTTTCCGCTCTGTGACCTTCACAGGTTGGGATTGCTACGTACGATGCGAAAAGAAGTCCAGTGTAGACACACACACACACGCAGGCTCAAGCACCTTGGCGCTCTTCTATCCAGTCACAACGGTTGCAACTGTCGGTTTCAATAGAATCGGTTTAACACGCGGTACGCTTTTGCGACCAATATTATTCGAGTGAAATTGTAAACGTTGTGGGTTTACTGTCCAACACACCGGTGTGCTGTACTAGCAATGAATTGGCACGTTTTGCTTACGTGACAAATCTTACTAATTGCCTGTGTGGGCGTGGCGGCGGCAGGTTGAACGGCACGTTTATATTTACGCGATCTAACCCAAAAAAAGAAAAACCTCAGTCTCAACGGATGTTCACACATTGGACCTTTCCGACGTCGAGTCTCCGGCCAGACGGATACGCGGCAGCTGCCGCACCGTTAACCCGCTGTCGTGTTTCTGACTCGGTGGGGGGGGGGGGGGCGGTGAAATATCGACAGCCCGCGTGCGGTGCGTTACTCCGGTCGACTGCAGGCATCTTAGCCGCAACTAGTCGGGTACTAGAGGGCAGTATTTCCTACCCGGTAACAAGCTGGGGTTGTTAAAATGTATTTTTGTTGTTTGCTTAACCTGGCAACCGTGTGACAGAACACAAACGGGTACCAGTTTGCCACGAGTATAATAATTAGAATCTTAATGTTTAGCGTGTGACGTCATCGTTGACGCAAACTGCATCTCTCGCAATCGCCGAGGAACCACAGACGCGAGCTGGAAGGCCGCAGCAGCAGCAGCCAACGGATTGCCCAAGTTCTGCGCTCCTCTACATATATATCAAGGTGTTTTCAACCAATGAATGAGAATTCATTACATGCGGGAGGAAACCGGAGCGACCCGAGAATTGCCACACTGGCGCGCAAGGGGGCGGCCATTCCATCCCATTCAGACGAGGCGGATGGATATTAATCCGAACATTTTCTGTGCATTCGCCTCCTGGCGATCCAGAGTAGGTCACCTCCTCCACGATGCCCGCAGGTGGAAGGGAGTTTCGCAGCATCCGCGTGTGAGCCACCAACCCTCGCTTGCTGCCTCCCCACACGCAACTGCTTGTGGGCAGGCAGCCACAGTGCAAAGCTGCCACTACCACCGTCCCCGTGTCATATATAAATGGCTCAAAAGTGAGGACATGTAGGGTTATTTCTTTTATTTCAAAACTGAAAATGTTTCATTCATATTTTATCTAAAATCTTTATTTATATCTATGTGTATTGTTCCTTTTCAGATGACATGAAACATTTTAGATAATTGATAAAATTTTAGTTCAATTCGTTTCTACGTCTGCTGAAGTAGGCAGCTGCGATCTTAAACAAAAAGCAAGTCCTCGATTAATTTCTAAAAAAATCATTCGTGCATGAATGTTAAGAGTGGAATTCAGTTTGAGCGCGTGTTAAACTAAACCAAATAAATTTCGATTTAAAGCTTTCGTGACTGCAGGGATTCATCTTCTTGGTTGTTTCGGTAAAGTCACGTAGAAGGGAAGTAATAAAATAATAAAAATAAAACATAATAAAATAATTCTCACGACGCTGTCGCCTCGACAGACCTGGTTTCACCTGAGGACGGCTGCTTGCGTTGTGGCCGAAACGTCGTGAGAATTATTTTATTATGTTTTATTTTTATTATTTTATTACTTCCCTTCTACGTGACTTTACCGAAAGAACCAAGAAGATAAACTAAATAACTCCGTGCGGTTTGGTAACATCGATGTAACACCGCTGCGTGTCCTGACTTTTTGGCCACCCTGCAGAGAACAAGTGACCGTGCGACTCTTTGAGCGTCTCCACTGAAACACGAAGGAGCTGCCACCGCTGAGCAGCGACGAGCGGTCAGCGGCACGGCGGACTTGTCAGCCAAAGGTCACCGCTCCGGTTCAGTTTCCCCGCGCGGCAGTTGAAACGAGGGGGGGCAGGGCAAAGTTGATCAAGTCCGTTCCGAATGTTGCACCGGAATCGCTCACCAGTTACGGCACGTGGCCTGGCAGCGGTAGTGGCGGTAGTGGTGGTGGCGGTAGTGGTAGTGGTGGCGGTGGTGGCGGTGGTGGTGGTGGTGGTGGCGGTGGTGGCGGTGGTGGCGGTAGTGGCGGTGGTAGTGGTAGTGGTGGTGGTGGTGGTGGCGGTGGTGGTGGCGGTAGTGGCGGTAGTGGCGGTAGTAGTGGCGGTGGCGGCGGTGGTGGCGGTAGTGGTGGTGGTGGCGGTGGTGGTGGTGGTGGTGGCTATTCACGTGGCCTTGCGGCGGTGGATGGCTGTGCACGTGGCCGCTGTAATCCAGCACGGTGGAGGAGGCAGCAGTAGCGAGAAGGGTTGGTGGAGCGACGCACAACTGGCGTGAGACTCCCTTCCCGCCGTGGGCATCGCTGAGCTACCCGTACCCTGGCTCGCCAGGAGAAGGCAGCGCAGGTGGGCGAAATGTGCACTCTGGCCATTCCAGATGCACGTGACACGGTGTTGCCACCTTGCACTGGCGGCTTCTCTCCGTGTGTTCCGCTTCATGTTAATTGGCGATAACGCCTTCGTATGTAGAGGACCGCAGAGCTCGGAGAGTGGGGTGCCGGGATTTTCTGCTCATCTCGCCGCTGCCTGGCTTCTGCTGCTGCCTTTCCAAGCTCGCCTGCGGTTCCTCCCTCTGAGTCGCTCGCTCGCTCACTCGCCCTCCGAGAGAGAGCGAGATGTGACCGAGATGTGAGCGCGGCACTCCACCGTCGCTTCTGGTTTTTTTGTTAAGTCGGTTGGCAGGAAGGGCATTGAATTATCCCCAGTTGACGGGGAGTTCTAGACGTTGACATGGCCAAGCCATATTCGGGCGGTTGATTGGCTCGCCTCGTGTGAGCGTCGATGGCGTGCCTGCCGCCACCCCCAGAAGTGGTGGGGGGGTGGTTGGGTCGTGGTTTGGCGGGGCCTCTGAACGTCGTGTTGAGGCCTACGGTTGAAGAGAGAGGAGGGTTTGGGTTCAACACCTCCTGGCTTAAAGCGGGCCGGGCGTCGGGTCTCCCGCCGTGAAGTTGACGTCGCAAGAATTCAAAGCGAAATGTCCCGAACGGTTTTGTGAAGTTCAAAAAAAAAGGTGCCTTTGGGGGGGGGGGGGGGGTTAACTTTTGTTGTTGTTGTTGTTTTACACCGAGTTGTGAGCCCGCTGCAGTGGGTGGGAAATTCCACATTCCATGTGACGGGAGCCAGTCTCTTTGAAAGGATGCCCGTTTTGTTTTTGTTGTATAAGTTAGGGGTTCGGGTTAGCGTTACAGCTGGCAGTTAAGCACGCAGGGTAACGGGGGGGGGGGGGGGGACTATTGTTAGAGCTGTGGCTGGCGATGATTGCGAGAAGGGATTAATATGTTCTGTTTATTTAAGTGTTTTTTGTTATTTTACGGGATACGTTGTTTTTCCCCATCAGAGGACATTGCAGCAAAATGTATTGTTGTCCTGTACCCATGTACCCATGCTCCCAACGTCGAATGCTCCCCGGCGTCATCAACCCGCACTGACCAGCGTGGTGAAGTATGGTCAAATGACCCCCATCCACCCGTGATGACACGCTCGGTCGGAGTCGGGTCGACGCTTCTACCCAACATTGGTGGATTGACAAACGGGGCCACACACCTTTGTATCGGAGCAATCGTAACTGCCCCTTTTGAGACGTTGAGCGCCAGGTCACCCACGCGAATGAATCTCAAATGGGCTCTCACCTGGTGAAATAAAGGGACGTTAGAAATCTCACGAGGCGAGAAATCTCTAAAATTGGCTCTCATCAGGTGAAATAATGGGGCGTTAGGAATCTCAGGAGATGATCAATCTCAAAATTGTCTCTCATCAGGTGAAATAATGGGGCGTTAAGAATCTCACGAGGCGAGATCAATCTCAAAATTGGTTCTCGTCAGATTAAGTAATGGGGCGTTAAGAATCTCAGGAGATGATTGGCTCTCATCTGGTGAAATAAAGGGACGTAAAAAATCTCACGAGGCGAGAAATCTCAAAATTGGCTCTCATCAGGTGAAATAATGGGGCGTTAGGAATCAAAGGAAATGATCAATCTCAAAATTGCCTCTCGCCCGGTGAATTAAAGGGACGTTAGAAATCTCACGAAGCGATCAATCTCAAAATTGCCTCTCGCCCGGTGAAATGGACGTCAATCCTCAAGAGGCGTCACTAATCCCGGCGGATATCTCGCCTGGTCAAACAACTAAAACTAAAAGGTGTAGCCTCATCGCGGGAGGTGACGCAATCTTCTAGCGCGCGATCTTGGGTTCAAATGAAGGACACTGACGATTCGTCTTCAAGACTGTTGACTTTGTTTTATTTGTAAGTGCCGACACGGATACAGCAAGTGTTACCCGAGTATCGATGACAAGCGTTGCGTTGGTCATGTTCTTATAACGATGATGATGATGGTGATGATGTTGTTGTTGATGATGAAGTTATTAGTGCAATAGCAGCTCGCTATCCCTAGGGGGCATCGTGGACACGTGGCCAAGCGTCTTGCAGCGGGAACTCCATTGGCGCGGGCGAGGGAGGGGAGGGGGTGACCGGGCCGACTTGGCACACGAAGGCGGTTTGTGTGTCTCGGTGTGTGTGTGTGTGTCTCGGTGTGTGTGTGTGTCTCGGTGTGTGTGTGTGTGTCGGTGTGTGTGTGTGTGTCTCAACGTGTGTGTGTCTCGGTGTGTGTGTGTCTCGGTGTGTGTGTGTCTCGGTGTGTGTGTGTGTGGTTGTGTGTCTTGGTATGTGTGTGTGTGTCTCGGTGTGTGTCTCGGTGTGTGTCTCGGTGTGTGTCTCGGTGTGTGTGTGTGGTTGTGTGTCTCGGTATGTGTCTCGGTGTGTGTGTCTCGGTGTGCGTGTATGTGTCTCGGTGTGTGTGTGTGTCTCGGTGTGTGTCTCGGTATGTGTGGGTGGTTGTGTCTCGGTGTGTGTCTCGGTATGTGTGGGTGGTTGTGTCTCGGTGTGTGTGTGTGGTTGTGTGTGTGTCTCGGTGTGTGTGTGTGGTTGTGTGTCTCGGTATGTGTCTCGGTGTGTGTGTGTGGTTGTGTGTCTCGGTGTGTGTGTGTCTGGTTGTGTGTTGGTGTGTGCCTGTATTTGTGTGTCTCGGTGTGTCTCGATGTGTGTGTAGTTGTGTGTGTATTTGTGTGTTAGTGTGTTTCGCTGTGTGTTGGTATGTGTGTGCGCGTGCCATTGTGTCTGGGCTTGTCCACGTGTGTGTTGGTGCGTGTATGTCTGTGTGTGTGTGAGTGCATGTTGGTGTATTTTAGTCGGTGTGTGCTGTATTGTGTGGTGGTATATGTCGTGTGTGTTGGTGCATGTTCGCGCGAAGTCGAACGTGTCTATGTCGGTGTGTGTCTGTGTGTGTGTGGGGAGCGGTGGTGCAGCGGTTAGCGCGCTGCGCTACGAACCCGGCCACCCGAGTTCGATTCCCGCTCACGGCAACCAACACCAAGCGACGATTGTCTGAACCGGTCCCGGGCCTCCCCTAGGTCGACTCGGCCTTCAAACGAGTACCTGGTGCAGTGTGTGGTGAACACCGCCACTGGGGAGACAAAGGCGGCCGGGCGGGCGTGGTGCTGGCCACCCACCCCCTCGTGTGCCACAGTGCCGGTGGCGGTCTTCATGAGGTCACCCGCCTGGCCAATGGTCAGCGACAGTGTGGGGGGCCCCAGGCCTCTCTTCCCCCGGTGCTTCTTATGAGGTTGACGATTGCCACAACTAATATGGCAATCGCCTCCAGTGTGAGACATATTTTCTCCCATAGCGGCCTTCACCCGATTTGCCGGGGCGCGTGCGTGCGTGTTGTGTTTCTTGTGTTCGTTACCCGTAAACGAACCGTCTGTTGACCGTCGTGTTTAATAATAAGCTCCGTATTAAAATGGTATCTGTTCAAATCGACTCGAGTTTCTGCCGAATGACTCGTGGTGGTGGTGGTGCGGTGGTCGCTGCGTTACCGCGTAGAAGGTTCAAATCCCCTACCCAGGGTCGGATCCGGGCTACCACGACACAACTCGCGACTGCTTTGTCCACATCTGAGCGACTAGTTGCCGTTTCAGCGATCGCGGTTATCGGGGTGGGTTGTGTGACGGTGATTGTGGTTATCGGGATGGGTTGTGTGACAGTGATTGTGGTTATCGGGGTGGGTTGAGTGACAGTGATTGTGGTTATCGGGGTGGGTTGAGTGACAGTGATTGTGGTTATCGGGATGGGTTGTGTGACAGTGATTGTGGTTATCGGGATGGGTTGTGTGACAGTGATTGTGGTTATCGGGATGGGTTGTGTGACGGTGATTGTGGTTATCGGGATGGGTTGTGTGACGGTGATTGTGGTTATCGGGGTGGGTTGTGTGACAGTGATTGTGGTTATCGGGATGGGTTGTGTGACGGTGATTGTGGTTATCGGGGTGGGTTGTGTGACAGTGATTGTGGTTATCGGGGTGGGTTGTGTGACAGTAATTGTGGTTATCGGGGTGGGTTGTGTGACAGTGATTGTGGTTATCGGGATGGGTTGTGTGACGGTGATTGTGGTTATCGGGATGGGTTGTGTGACGGTGATTGTGGTTATCGGGGTGGGTTGTGTGACGGTGATTGTGATAATCGGGGTGGGTTGTGTGACAGTGATTGTGGTTATCGGGATGGGTTGTGTGACGGTGATTGTGGTTATCGGGATGGGTTGTGTGACGGTGATTGTGGTTATCGGGGTGGGTTGTGTGACAGTGATTGTGGTTATCAGGGTGGGTTGTGTGACGGTGATTGTGGTTATCGGGATGGGTTGTGTGACAGTGATTGTGGTTATCGGGGTGGGTTGAGTGACAGTGATTGTGGTTATCGGGATGGGTTGTGTGACGGTGATTGTGGTTATCGGGGTGGGTTGTGTGACGGTGATTGTGGTTATCGGGGTGGGTTGTGTGACAGTGATTGTGGTTATCGGGGTGGGTTGTGTGACAGTGATTGGGGTTATCGGGGTGGGTTGTGTGACAGTGATTGGGGTTATCGGGGTGGGTTGTGTGACAGTGATTGTGGTTATCGGGGTGGGTTGAGTGACAGTGATTGTGGTTATCGGGGTAGGTTGTGTGACAGTGATTGTGGTTATCGGGGTGGGTTGAGTGACAGTGATTGTGGTTATCGGGGTGGGTTGAGTGACAGTGATTGTGGTTATCTGGGTGGGTTGAGTGACAGTGATTGTGGTTATCGGGGTGGGTTGTGTGACATTGCGGTCATGCAGAGGAAGATTGCGTGTGTGTGTGGGAAGGGGTATTGGGTGCGGGTGCGCAGTCTCCGATGCGGTTGTGAGCTGTTCCCCAGGAATGCGTGAAGACGAGAGCGATGGAGTAAGAGATTGAGAGTTCTAGAGGGAGAGCGATTAAGAGATCGGGAGATAGCAAGAGAGAGTGAGAGCGAGAGAGAGATAGTTTTTGAGTTCTTCTTGGTTCTTTCGGTAAAGTCACGTAGAAGGGAAGTAATAAAATAATAAAAATAAAACATAATATTATGTTTTATTTTTATTATTTTATTACTTCCCTTCTACGTGACTTTACCGAAAGAACCAAGAAGATGAATCCCTGCAGTCACGAAAGCTTTAAATCGAAAAGTTTTTGAGTTGTAAACCACTTCTATTGTCGCCAGCAGCAAAAGCACTGGAGCCGATTTCGATACAGATCACATTGCGTACAGCATCACGTGGTGTGCGCGTCACACACACAAACAACATGCACTGCACGTGGCCACGTGTAACACGAGGACCGTCGCGAACAGAGCAAGAGGGATGTGGGAGGGATTCGAGGGAGGGAGATTGAGAGGGCGAGAGAGATTGAGCGAGCGAGTGAGAGAAAACGATTGAGAGATGGAGAGAGAGCGAGTGAGTGAGAGAGCTGTGCGGTTTTGGGAATTAAAAGTCCTTGGCAAGACAACTACCTTCCCACTCACTCCCTTCCTCTCTATCTCCGTCTGTTCCTCTCTCTCTGGCTCTTTTTTTACGATCAGTGGAAACAAGAAGATGCTCAGTGTAGTCGGCATTTTGCTTCGTTCATCATTTCTTAAAAACATTTTTTTTTACTTTGTTTATGTAAACCCCCACCTCTTTCTCTCACTCCGGCAGTACATATACTAAAATTTGAACGATACAGAGAAGATTAGCATGGCCCCTGTGCAAGGATGACACGCAAAATTCTCTCGCTCACTCTCTCGCTCTCTCTCTCGCTCTCTCTCGTTCTGCCCGCAGCCCTTCTCGCAGTCCGACGGCCTCCGACGGGTAGCTCACATCAGCATGCAGAGCTCCCCGTCATCTGCCACCGAGCACACGGCCTCCTCCATCGCCCACTGCTCCTTGAAGGCCGGCACGGCGTGGGTCAGCCGCGCCGCATGGCGGAACTCCAGCCCACACACCCTGGCTCCGACCAGAGCGCGGTCTCAATCTCTCTCAAGCTCTCACCTACTTACCGCGTCTGTTCCCGTCTGGATAGCTCCGCTCACCCCCCCCCCTCCTCTCTCTTTCTCTGATCTCTCACTCCGCGTATTTTCATCTCACTCGCTCGCTCTCTCCATCACTCACCAATCTCCACTCTGTCGCTCATCTCTCGCACCTTCTCCGAACCCTCTGTCTCTATAAATCCATCCGCCTCGCCATTTATAACTCTCCCCACTCTACTCTTAGGTTTTTTTCCGGTAAAGTCACTTAGGTAAAAAATAAAATAAAAATTAATAAAAGTAATAATAGAAATAAAATAAAAAAATTAAAATAAATGTATTATTTTATTTCTATTATTACTTTTATTAATTTTAAAATAAAATTATTATTTTATTTTTATTTTACTTTTATCAATTTTAATTTCATTTTTTACCTACGTGACTTTACCGGAAAAACCCTATAAGAGCATGAATCCTTGCAGTCACGAAAGCTTCAAATCTAGAATTAATACTCTCCCCACTCTCCCTCCTCTCCCTCCTCCCTCTCTCTTCTGCACCGCGATCTCTAAATCCTCCACACAAGATCTGCTGGCTCTGTCTCCATCCCGTGTGTCCCCCCCCCCGCCCATCCTCTCCGTCTCTCTGCGTTGTGGGTTCCGACTGATGGCTCGTTTGTGGTTGTGAGTCGATGGCTCTGGTTGTTGCCTGGTTGTGGTTGCTCTGGTTGTGGTTGCTCTGGGTTGTGGTTGCTCTGGGTTGTGGTTCGGCTCGGCGGTTGTGTCGATCACCGGCTCGTGGCTGTTCGGGTGGATAGTGGTTGTGGTTGGTGAGAAGGCAACACACACGCACAGACATACAAAACGAATACAAAGATCCCCCGGGTAGCCTTGACAGACTAGGGGCAAGTGATGTTTATCAAGCACCTATGAAGGCCGGAACAGCACACTGAGGTGGTGGTTGGTCAACACCACGCCCGGCCGCCTTTGTCTCCCCAGTGATGATATTTTACACACCGCACCAGGTACTCGTTTGAGGCTGAGTCGACCCAGGGGAGGCCCCAGCACCGGTTCAGATAATCGTCACCGGTGTTGTTGGCCACGAGCGGGAATCGAACTCGGGTCGCCGAGTTCGTAACGCGAAACACGAAACAGACACACGTACACGTGCTCACATACCAGACTCGCAAACACACACACCACAACACTCATTTTCAACACACACAAAGACAAAGCCCCCCCCCCCCTCCTGGTATAGCCTGCTTCGGCTGTTGGGGCAAGGTGTTGTTCGTGCGCACCGAACGAGACAGACCGGCACGGCGCGTAACGGGCTGATGGTGCCAGAGGCATGCCCGACCGCCTTTGTCTCCCCCCCACCCCAGTACTGATTTAAATACCGCTGAGTCGAGCCTTGGGGAGGCGGAGGGAGGGCCGGTTCATATAGTCGCGACTGATGTTTGCCACGCACGCATTGACACACACACAGACATACAAAACGAATACAAAGATCCCCCGGATAGCCTTAACAGACTTAAGGGGCAAGTGCTGTTACGGAGCACCTGGGTGTTGGCCGTGAGCGGGAATCGAACTCGGGTCGCCGGGTTCGTAGCGCAGCGCGTTACAACAACCGCCATTCGCTACTAAGTGGCGGTGACGTCACCACGACGCTTGTGCCAGGCCATGTGCACCTTGAGGCCACGTGAAGTGTCGAACGCCCGCCTGCAGGAGGTCACGGGGCAGACCCAGCATGCAGGTGCCACGGGTCGACTGACTGAGATGATCGAGATGACTGGCTGATGCACCACTTGTGCCCCCTACTGTGCCAACTTGCTGTGCTTTATCCACCCGGCGCTCCGCTCGTTGTTGTGAGCGTCGCACCTCTGCCCTCCGTTGTTGTTGGAGGGCGACTGCCTCCAACTGCCCAGTAGCGTCCTTCACGAGCCTCCTCCACAGAGGCCGATCTTGACACCGCTGGTACCAGTCATCGGCAAGTCCACTCAGCTCCATATCCCCCTGTACCACATCACTCCATCTCCTCTCTAGCCCATGCCGCGCCCGTTTAGCCCCCTCGATCCGGCCGAACAAAAGCTGTTAAGGCATGCGGTGATTGGGCATATCCACATTCACACACACACATACACACAGACATTAACAGACACAGACATTAACACACACAGACACACACAGACATTAACACACACAGACACACAGACAGTAACACACACATACACACAGCCATTGGGTTGGGGTGCTTTCCTGTGACCTCTTGTGAGGTCACCGTGACCTCCCCGTGGGGTTTCTTCGACCCCCCTCCCAACTCAGCCCCCCCCCCCCATCCCCTGAACTCCCCACAGCTTCAATCTGGCAGCCCGCGGAGCTCGATTCAGCAGCCAAGGTCCGGTTAGAGAGCGAGACCCGGGGAAGACTGGGACAGCACGACATTCAAAACTGCTGATGATGCTGCTGCTGATGCTACTGATGATGCTACTGATGATGATGATGATGTTGATGATGCTGCTGCTACTGATGATGATGTTGATGATGATGCTGCTGCTGATGCAACTGATGATGATGTTGATGATGATGGTGCTGATGCAACTGATGATGATGTTGATGATGCTGCTGCTGCTGATGCTACTGATGATGATGTTGATGATATTGATGCTACTGATGATGATATTGATGATGCGGCTGCTGATGCAACTGATGATGATGTTGATGATGCTGCTGCTGATGCAACTGATGATGATGTTGATGATTGATGCTGCTGCTGATGCAACTGATGATGATGTTGATGATTGATGCTGCTGCTGATGCTACTGATGATGATGTTGATGATGCTGCTGATGGACTAATACCTTTGCAGACATTCCACCTTCACACAGATGTCCCTACACGTAAACCATTTAAGGTATTCCCCCCACCCCCACACACATCCCATCAGCCACACGTGACCCTCTCTCTGTGGGAGTGCATCGCTTTTGGGCAGCGTCTGCGGCCAACGCAAGCGCCGCTCTGGGACCGGTTTCAACATGCAGGGTCTCATCGGCGGAACCAGGCTCTGCTCTGAACCAATGCTGCGACAGATTGCCAGAGGACCCCCCTGCCTCCCTGTTAGTTGTGTGTCCTGGGATCGACGTCTCCTCTGTAATCCGCCACCACCAAGCAGGTCTGTCGGACTGTGGATTGATGAACGACTGGCGGTCCCGCGAGCCAACTGCTTCTCGGCGACTGATGGTGAAGATGATAGGGCGACGATGATGATGTGAAGATAAAGACAATGATGTGAAGATCATAATGTTAACCAACTATACAATTTGTTTTTTTTATTTTACGAGGTAAGGCCGACTGAGATATGTAGCTCTTTTTTCAGAAGCGGCCTGGCCACAAATAATAGCGCAATGAAGTGGCTTATCATCATCACCATCGTGTGGAAGTTGATATCAGCAGCCAGACACTCGATAACGCGTGATGCTGATTATAAATATAGAGGGGGAAACCCGGAGGACCCGGAGAAAAATCCACGCGACCACGGGGAGGGAGAGAGAACTCGCCTAACTCCAAATATACAGGAGGGTCCGGGTCGAGATCGAACCCACGACCTCCTGCACGCCAGGCGAGGGAGTTAACATCTCGCATTTGTTTAAGGAGGTGAAAACTCAGAAGTCCACGGCATGTCTCTATAGCAGGATGGTGAGGTGGTAACAAACACGAGGATGATGATTATGGTGATGATCATGGTGATGATGATGATTATGGTGATGATGGTGATGAAGATTATGGTGATTATAGTGATGATGGATGGTGATGATTATGGTAATGATGGTGATGATGATTATGGTGATGATGGTGATGATGATTATGGTAATGATGGTGATGATGATTATGGTGATGATGATGATTATGGTGATTATAGTGATGATGGATGGTGATGATTATGGTGATGATGATTATGGTGATGATGATCATTATGGTAATGATAGTGATGATTATGGTGATTATAGTGATGATGGATGGTGATGATGATGATGACGACAAGAATGACGAGTCGAGCCCTGGACGGGGGTCTCAATCTCAGCTGGTGAGATGCAGCAGCAGCAGAAGCAGCAGCAGCAGAAGCAGCAGCAGCAACAGCAGCAGAAGCAGCAGCAGCAGCAACAGCAGCAGAAGCAGCAGCAGCAGCAGAAGCAGCAGAAGCAGCAGCAGCAGCAGCAGAAGCAGCAGCAGCAGAAGCAGCAGCAGCTTCCCAATGACCGCCCGTCCGCGACTGTTGCGGCTGTACGAATGTTGAACTTCTTTGCACGTGTGTTGTATGAAAGTTGAACTTCTTTTGCACCGTACGCAGCCAACCGCGCTAATTGGGTTGCGCCAGAAGGACAACAAACTAAACACAAAACGCAGTTCTACAGAAATGAGTTTCCAATCTGGACGATTTCCAAGTGACTCAATTCCCAGTCGCTTCCTAGCATCGGACGGAAGAGCGTTCCAGACGGTCGCAGAAGCGCAAACTGAAAGCGCGCGATCCAGTGACCGTCTTTGTGTTCTGGCTGATGATGTTATATAACGCGGAGCTCTCTCTGGCCGCCTCTCGCTCTCTTCGTGCGTGTCTTCTTCGAACGCTGGTGGAGCCGGAAAAGCCCCTCTCTGTACCAGCGTGCCACGGCACCCTCGTGGTGTTCACCTTCTGAAGCGCTCGCTCGTCACCGTGGCGTGCGCGATGACACCACCACCACCACGTGACTTTTCTTTTGTGTCGTGCGCGCTGCATTTAGCGCCACAGCGCGTGG